ATAACGTCGCCAACGTTCTGACCACGGGGCATCACAAGCAAACTGCAATTTTGCTTTTTCGCGGGCTGATAGTCCACTAATCTGCAACATCCTACTACACCACAAGCGCGCATGATGGAAGGCAGCATAACTCAGCCGAGCCTTGAGCATGGGCCTCAACAAAATTGAGCCACGCTGGTGCCAGAATGGGTACATACCCCCTTGCCTCTATACAGTGGTGGGGCGTGGCAGGCTTCTCCCCGCTGCGTCCATGATTCTGGGCTGAGCAAGGGGCAATGCGCAGAACACTGCAAAAGTTGTGGCCAATAGCTCAAAGACACCAGTCGTGCGTGAAGTTTGGCGGGCTGTCCGCAAATGGTCAAGCGGGCGCAACTTTTAACTTACCACACACATTGCCAAAGCGGACCAAGCTGCTTCATCCAGCTGCGGCAGCAGTTCTTCATCTGCTGCTTTCTGGTTTGCTTTCGCCACTACCTCACTGACTATAGTCAACACTCTTCAGCAAAGAAGGGTTGCATGTTGCAAACCAGCCGGCCTCTGCTACCTCTTCGTTCACCAAGCCCTCTGGCATCAGCGCTTCTTCGAAAGATTTCTGCGCCTCCATGTGTCCAGCACTGAGAAAATGAAATGAACTGAAAGATTTTTGCCTTCTCGTCATCACCTTCTCCAGTGGGCACTGAAGCCAGCAATCGCCCAAGCTGCGCAAGAAAGGCATCAGGTGGTTGAACACTCGCATGACTGATGCATCTACAGCGCAGTAGAGCAAGAGGAAAAACCAATCCCCAAGCGCCAAGAAAGCAACACTTCTTTACATGAAGCGGTACGGGAAGTACCAAAAATGCATAGCATACGCAAACAAGAAGCGTGAGGCATTGCTGCGGCATAACCTATTATTTCTTTAAAACGCCGCTTCCCAAGCATGGGCGCAAAGCTTCTATCCCAGGGCGCCGAAGGGTGGCAGAGGGTGGGGCGCGCAAAGCACAAGAGCGCAACAGCAGAGGAAATCAGAGACCCAGAGCCACGGAACCTAAACAACGAGATCGCCGTGGAGCCTGTTCGCCTTCACGTTGTCCAGGCTGTCGCTGGACAAGCAGCACGGCCGCCACAACAGGCAAACACAAAACAAACTCCAGATTTGCGCGCATCTCGCCAACTATCACACCAATCTGTCTCGCAACAAGCAAACCACCTTCTTCTTCATATGATTCATATGCATATTACAGCGCCAGGTCTTTTGTGGCTTTGCTCCAGCAGCATACAACGTGATCTGACAGCGTGGCTCCAGCTATCGGAGCAGCAACACGTTCAACGTCAAAGGCCTGGTGCTCGTCATCACCACGCCTTCGCTTGGGGGCGTCTCATTCTTTCAACATTCAAGGTCACCTTCGCTTTCTTTACGTTGGACGATTGCCGACCGCGTCAGCAACTAGCTTTTCAATTTGTTTTTTTTCAATCCGGAGCATGGCTTTTTGCTGCGCGACCATGTCATCCGCAGCAGCAGTCGCCAGCACTTTTTCATTCTGACACACCACGAATTTGTTGCTTTCTGCACTGACTTTATTGTACCTCGCCTTCAAGATCGCATCTATTTCCTGGCAAGTGTGAACCGGCAAATCGACTTTTAGACCTACGCGTTGACAACCTTGCCCTTTTCGATTGCAAGGGATCTTCACGCGGAGGAGAAATGTGTAAACTGAAATCGGCCTGCTCCATCGCTGCTCCAAGCAATGCAGCTTTGACACCTTCGCAACAACAAGAACAACAACAGCAACAACAACCGGGATGGCACGCGGCCGTCTCCCCTCTATACCTGGTGGAACAATGCTGACACTCGGCACACTCTGAAGGCCCAGCAGCAACCACATCCAAGCACTGCCAATGATCTTCACAGTCGCCACCATTGCCCGGCAACAAACACAAAAAGAACGCGCTAAGACACCGCAAAGTTTGACTTACGCTTGGCCCACAGCTAGCCGTCGACTTGCGCCCGCAAAGATGCGCAAAGTAGCGCGCAGACCGTTCTCAACACGCGGTGGCTGTCCATGTTTCAGGATGTTGTTCAGAATTTCTTGGAGGAGGGTGGGGGGGGAAGAAATTCTGAACCCAAGGATATAAAGCGAAAACGCCAAACCAGGCACCATAACACTCTGGGCTTCTTAACGCTTGATCCATCAAGAACACTAAGTCAACAAAAGGGTCGACAGCCAGGGTAAATTAGAGAGAGTTGGTATTCTTCCGCGCAAGCCCATAAGAATCCTACACTTGGCTGAACTCAAGCATTCAAACAAAATGGTGACCAGAACGTCAAACCAACAGACTGCAACAAGTCATTGCAAGCAAATCCCGGTTTGTTGTACGCTCGCGTACACATCCCAACTCAACCAGCTTCTCCTGGTCAACTCACACAATCCCTCCTCTGCTGCAACGCTACGCCCTGCAGCCAACTAACCAAGAAGGCTCCAAACCCCTACCCAGGTGAGGCCTGAACCCAAACCAGGCCAGAGGGAGAAAACAAACAAACTCACCCGGCACCCCAGCAAAAGAACCACGCCTCTCACCCATCCTATCATTCAAGGAACTACAAGACCTAGAGCAGGCGCGCCGACCTTTTGCAAGATGAAGGGACGAGCCATCCATGCAGGACTCTGCCAACAGGCTTCCCTTCTCCCCTCCCTCTTCCTTAGCTGCTCCACAGGTCAGGGTGGGCGGGGGGGAAAAGCTGTGTGGCACGGCACCAAACTTTAAACCAGGGAGCAGCTGCTCCTGTTACCAGCAAGCTGTTCAAACTGACAAGGTACACATTAATGCTAGGTGGGAGAGAGGGTTGGTGTTCCTGCCTACCCCGACCGACCGCGAACACCGGTACAAAGCACTAGTGCGCTAACGCTCCAAGATCCCCTGGCTTGCCGTTTGACTTGCGCTTGGCCCACAGCTAGCTGTCGACTTGCACCCGCAAAGATGCGCAAAGTGGTGCGCAGACTGTTCTCAACATGTGGCGGCTGTCCGTTTTTCAGGGTTGCCAAGGAGGGCAGATTGCTTAGCAGTTGAAGCCCTCTCACCCATCCTATCATTCAAGGAACTACAAGACCTAGAGCAGGCGCGCCGACCTTTTGCAAGATGAAGGAACGAGCCATCCATGCAGGACTCTGCCAACAGGCTTCCCTTCTCCCCTCCCTCTTCCTTAGCTGCTCCACAGCTCAGGGTGGGCGGGGAAGCTGTGTGGCACAGCACCAAACTTTAAACCAGGGAGCAGCTGCTCCTGTTACCAGCAAGCTGTCCAAACTGACAAGGTACACATTAATGCTAGGTGGGAGAGAGGGTTGGTGTTCCTGCCTACCCCGACCAACCGCGAACACCGGTACAAAGCGCCGAAACAAAGCAGTTAGGTTTGCTGTGCGCCAGACAAGCCTATTTCTATTCTCACAAACCTGTTGTGGGGAGAACAGTCATCCATCTTTTGTGGGAGGGTTCATCTGGAATCCCGGACAAAGGACACGCCTGCTGAATGGGTCAATCGCTCAAAGCAAGGCACTGAAGCTGAGCTCTGGAACCGGGGCATGGTTCAATAGCAGGAAGGAGCACATCGTTCTTGCAAGCAAACCTTCTGTTTCACAGTTGCATACACGTCATACATGTCCCGGAATCCTGTCAATGTCAAAGGCTTGAAACGCTGAAAACAGCGAGAATTGCGCCTAATGCGCCCCAAACTTGGCAAATCTAGAGCCCATAGCCTCATGCACCTACAGGTCCAACCCTTGCCGGCTCTACTAATCATTCCTATGCGTCCAACCCTGCTGCCATCAAGCCCCGCGGCCTTCTATCGGCGCATCCATACGTTTGCTCTGTTGGAACTGCTGCGCTCCTCCCCGCACCGCTATTGCTCTTTTACAAGCCTGGCAATCGGCAGCTGCGCAACCAAGCCTTGCATTGTTTTGTATTGGGTCAATTTATCCCACCTTGGACGAGACCATCTTCACCGACCGGCCCTGATCCGACCGATTCACGGCGCGCGTTCTTTCCCGTCTGCTTGTCGAAGCTTCCGCTTGGCGGCCACGCTACGTCGCACTGCACGCGAACATTTTCATGACCATCGCCGCCTTGCTTCACCCACGGAAGACTCACCATCTTTGCAAATTTAAGCGCCCCAATTCCCGTAAGATCGGCCACAGAAATCAAAGGCCGGCATGGGCCTGAACAAGCCACTGGTCAGCAGAAAGCTGCAATAATCTTTCCATGTCCTGAATAGCTTCTTGAATAGCAATGCGCTGCCACAAACACCAGTAACGAAGCTGTAGACAGGGCGCTTTCTGCAGCGCAAAAACTTACGGATTAAAGAGCCAGCAAGGCTCCATCCTTGCAGGTAGCCAGCATGTCTGCCGTTTCGATTCTAGCTTGCGACATGACAGGCCTGCTGGGCAAGGCTTGCTTGGACTTTGGGCAGCGCCCGGTCTTTCTGCTCTACGCCCGCAGAATTCAACTCCGCAGCGTTTAGCAAAGTCCTGCGCCCATTGGTGGAAGATATAAGGGGCCTCGCGTTCAACAAGACAGCGCTTGGTCGCTGTATATTTTCTATAAAAGAGCCTTGCAGTGCAAACGTTGGACCAGAAACGCTCCCCTACAAAACAGCCACATGGCAGTATTGCACAATGCTCAGCAACCCTCTGCTCAATACAACAGCACGATTGGTTTTTTTGGTAATGGAATACGAAACAACAAAACAAACACAAACAACCCCAGGTTCCAACCAAGATCACAAACAGCTTGGCTGAAGGAGGTGTTTACAAGCAGTGCGTCAGAAAGAGAGGTTCTCGTGCGTCGCGCCAACCCAAAATCTAAACAAAGGTTACGTAGAGTTGGGGATGGCAACCGCTTATCGATAAAGTCTTCCATTTTTGCTCGACCTCTGTTTTCATAGTGTTTGCGGCAAGACGCTTTCACAGCCCGCCTTCTTTGCGGCTATCGCATCGCCGCTATCTCCCGCTGCGAACGCGACAGTGTTCTCACATGGGCCTCTCAATGTTCTCAAACACGCCGAGCGCCTCTCAGTGTCCTCACTTGCCTGTGTACTGGAACGGGGCCAGGGTCGGCGCCTGGCACGTTGCCCCACGCATGCGCCATCCCTGCCATTTCGGGCTGACGATCGAATCCCAGCCAACCGCCCTACTGCCTACCGTTGGACACTCGGCGCTGAAGTCTTCGTCGCATTGCGGGGCACATGGCCAGGACAAGCCGCACTTCGCCGCAATCTCCTTCAAAACACCCTCTTATTTTTCAACCGAGAGCGCAACACCAAAGAGCTACACAAAAATGATTGAGGGCCAAGCGCTTTCCGCAAACTTTAGGAACACAACACTCTCACTTGGTCCTGATGCGAGAACACGTCCTCTCCACTGAGAATCTTGCCTGGGCAAGCCCCAATATACCAATCAGGGGCTTCGCAAACACCTGGCAAAGAGAAGGCCCAGCGGCAGCCAGCAAGCGCGCAAATCTTCACGAAGCATGTCCTTCAGACGTCTCTATCCAAAAGCGAGGGCAAACCGCGCTGAAATCCTGGTCTTTGCAACCGGCACTTGCACAAGAATTTGAGGCCTCCACGCCTGCTGACATTCGCCATTGCACGGCCACCGAAAATTGCACCTTCCCAATCCAAAACGCATGTATCGCATGGCCATTGCTTCAAGTAGCGGTCGGTTCACACACATGGCTTGCAACTCCTGCCACACTGACAGCGAAAACCAACCAATCTGTCTGGTGGACACAGAGCGTTAGTTTTCTCCTTTTTGCGCGCATCCGGCATGTTGGCCAGGCCATCAAATTGCCGGTCGCAGTGGCCAACGTACGATTTTGGGGCCTCGCACAATGACAAGCAACCCTACCAGTCGGCTGGCCATCCGGTTTTTCGGAATTGAAGCGCAAGCGGCAGGCTGCTACCCAGTCCCTCCTAAGCGCCGCGCAAAGCAAGTACCATTGGCCGCAGCCTGCCACCCCTGCCACGCATCGCCAAGAAGCTGAGCTGACATGTCAGAATATGGCCAACGCCGAGCCTGCGGGCAATTCACAAAATCATGTTTGCAATTCTTGTCCACAACCTTCCCCATTGTGCCCGCAAAACAACCAAACAAAACAAGCAACAGCAACGGCATGGCCCAGACCAGCAACTGCACACACTGATGACTGACGTTGAATCTCTACGGCGGCAATGCAATTTTTACGGCTGCGCAACGGCCACTCTTTGAGCACGACGGCTGCAAGTTTTGAAGGATTCAGCGGCGGGCGCTTGGACGCGGGCCTGAACTTGGTGACAGGTTGCTTGCGGCAAGCAGGAAATCGGTCGCAGCATCCTGGCCTACAATGATGGTTGAGACCTAAGAATTGGTAAGTTTCAACACCTGGGGCCACCTTAAAGATGTCAGCTCTCATTTTTGAAGGTAGACGCATTAGACTATATTGTTGCGTTAAGCCTCTCTTTTCTCTTGCAGCGTGCCTTGCAGTCAGTGCCACGTGTTGCCAAGCAAACTAGAGGACAAGAAGACATGACGAGTCGCGAATAGAAAACAAAAGAGGCGCGAAACAAATGGCTAGGATCTGAATGAACGACGGTTGCCTTGTTCTTCCGCTATGAAAACAGGAGGGATGAGCGAACGCGCTTGTCTTTTGTTTCAGTGCCTGGGAGGGAATATCCGGGATCTAGCCGCGCATGCGGGGAAACCCCAGAGCTTTTATATTTCCAAACTAAAAGGAAGGAAGTTAGGGCAAGAATATAATTCCCGCAGATGCCCAGCACCGACGACCGGCAAACAAGGCTTTTGTTTTCTCCAACTGGGGTTTGGCCAACAGAGAGCCCTGGACCAATTCATTGGCCCTCCAAGGGCCTCAACATCAGCCTGCCGCTCCCTGAAACCAACTGAAAAACATCAGCCAGTGGCTGACAAACATGTCAACCTGAGTTACTTCGTCGGGCATCTTTCTCTCGAGCGTTTGCTTCACTCACCAAGCTTTTTGCATTTAACAAGTCCATCTTCTTGTTGCAAGTCAGGATCTCTGCGCAGCCCTTAAGCTTAGAGCCACTGCCTGATAAGCCGTCTCCGTTCACCAATGCTTGCGTGACAAAGCGTCCAACTGTGCGCCTTCAGACCGCGCGCTTCTGACCTGCGCACAAAGAATGACATGACAGTTGAATTTCCACGGTCTGAGGTTCTGCACCGGCCTAGCCGTGGTGACAAGCTGGGAGCAGTCCGCTCAACAAGGAAGCTGTTCAAACTAAACGGGATGCGCTTAGCAGTTGTTAGGAAGGGTGACTTTAACTCTCGCAACCCTGGTGCGGGGAGAAACGACCCGGACCAGCACAGCAAACCAGCCGTGCAAGGGTAGTAAAAGGAAGAGACCAACCACCCACAAACTTGCCTAAAAGGTCGCAACGAATATGCGCACCCTTCAAACAACGGAGAGGGCGGGCGTGGCGGGGTCAAAGAAAGAAAAGACACAACCGCCATCAAACGTTGCCCAACTCCAAGAGCAACCCCACTTGGCTGAACTCAAGCGTTCGAACAAAATGGTGACCAGAACGTCAAACCAACAGACTGGAACAAGTCATTGCAAGCAAATCCCCGTTTGTTGCACGCTCGAGGGCGCACATCCAACGCTGCGGAAATCACACCAGCGCAGAGGCGGCCACACAGGAGCCCCAGGGCGTACGTCCGACCCCATGGAGAGCACCAAACGCTGCGCCTGCAGCGGCGGCGACGCACCGCGGCGTACATCCTACCCTCTGGACAGCACCAAGCGCTGCGCCTGCCACGGAAATCACACCGACAAAGCAATTGGTTGGTGAGACTTGGTTGGTGGCAATTGGTTGGTGGAAGCTTGCTGGTGGAAGTTTGTTGGTGGCAATTGGTTGGTGGCGGTTGGTTGGTGGCAGTTTGTGGGTGGAGGTTGGTTGGTGGCGGTTGCTTGGTAGCAATTGGTCATAATTGGTCGGTGACAATCACGGTTGGTAGCAATTGGTTGGTGACAATTGGTTGGTGGCAATTGGTTGGTGGAAGTTTGTCGGTGGCAATTGGTCGGTGACAAGTGGTGTGGAAGTTGGTGGGTGGCAGTTGCTTGGTGGCAATTGGTGACAATTGGTTGGTAGCAACTGGTTGGTAAATGTTGGTGACAATTGGTTGGTGGCAATTGGTCGGCGGAAGTTTGTTGGTGGCAATTGGTTGATGACAGATTGTTGGTGGCAATTGTTGGTGACAAATGGTTGGTGGCACTTGGTTGATGACAATTGGTTGGTGGCAATTTTGGTGGAAGTTTGTTGGCGGCAATTGGTGGGCGACAACTGGTTGGTAGGTAGCAATTGGTGGGCGGCAACTGGTCGGTGGCAGTTTGCGGGCGGCAGTAGCGGATACCACACTGAAAACAAGAACCCCACACGTCAATGTGGGGAACAAAGCGAGCCAAGGTTGAAAAAATATCTTCTCAAAATAGATCAGCGGTAGCCAACGTAGATTGTTTGATCGGGTAAGGCCATGATTTAGAAAACGCTTGAGGGTAGCCAAGGCTTTGAGATGTGCTGAGATGGGTGTGGATAATTTGTTGGGCGATTCAAGAACGCATTGGATGAACGCATCTGAAATCGCAATGTTCCAAGCTTTGACTCAACACTTTGATGGCAAGCTCTTTGCTTTTATCACTCCTACTTGTAGCCCAAACCCTCTCTTCCCTAAAACAGCGCTCACGGCTTTGGACGACAACTCCAAGAGGTGGTGCCAGGCTGGGAGCGCCTCAGACCTGGCACCAACCCTGGTCCCGTAAACAATCGTCCAGGGTTTTTGGGCTTCGCATGGCTTCGCGCATTTCACCACAGCTCTCATCTGGGGCGGGTGGGCAGGGCGCAAGCAAGGATGCGGTTCCTGAACAGAGAACACCTGTTCAGACAAAAGACAGCACCTGAACTCAAGGAACAACATGTTCAACTGGAACGGGATTGGGGTGTGGAGTTCCCTTACGCAGAGTATCCCTGCAACGTTCCCGGGGGAAGTCTAAGTCAAGCGCGCAATGGAATCACGGCACACCAACTCCCAAATATAATCGTCTCAGGCCATCCATTACCAACCCCGTTAGGAAGCAAAACGTTGGCGTGACTCCTTTTGTGTCAACATCTGGATTTCTACAGGTGATTTGGAGGATTCAATCTTTTGCTCGATCATCCTTCCCATGCTTTTCATTTCGCAACCTGGCGCAGCCTCTGGTCTATTTTGAGACGCAGCAAGAAGTGTCATCCCCAGACACATCGCAATACATAACAGACATAACATCCCAATACATGACTGATTCTTAAAACCAGCCTGCTAAAGATAGAATCAGGGCGCCAACCCCTTTTATCGTGCGTCACCGGTTTGGGGGCCAGCCCCATTTTCACGCTTTTCCTCAACATAAACCTACCCCAACCCCACCTCACTCTTTAGCGAAATATATTTTATTAATACAATGGGTCCTCGAAATAAGGGCTATTGCCGTCTCTTTTTTGAGATCTTACAAGGTCTATAGTCTATAGGAGCCTTCAAGCTGATCAACTGCAACTTGATTGCCAAACGCGCCCTGCGTTAAACCAAAGCTGCGAAACACGTTGCCCGCGTTCCTCAAACTTCACAGCGATGCGTCTTGGGCATCCATGGCAACAGACCCGTGCGTTTAGGTCGCAGCCACACGCCTGGCGCTGGCCAGAAAGGACAAAGGAGCAGCTGCAGCGTCTAATTCCCGCTCAATGTCCACAGATGTCACGCCCGCGCAGGGCCAGTGCGCTTGGCAACGCCGTGACCATTCTTCTAACATGTCCACATTGAAGTTGTCAAAGGCGACCGAGCCTTGGCAAGGGCCCTCGTAGTCTTCAGACGCTGGCTGACAGAGCCATTCATTTTCTGCAACCAATTCAAAGCCCTGCGGACAGGGGTTTGCTGAGTAGTCCCTGACAGAACTGACAAATGTTGCATTCCTTGCCTACGAGGAGTGTATAAGCTAAAACAAACCTTGCGCAGCTGCGACACGGCCACGTTGTACCACAGTTTTTGGCCCACCGTTGGCGCGCGAGAATAGACATGTTGCGAAATTGCACTCTGCCAGCGCAAGGGCCTGCCACCACATCAATCTCTGCTGCACCTTACCTCCAGACTGCACGCCTGTGTAGTTTGCTTTGGGGTAACAAGCAGCGTCATCGGCAATCGCAATGAAACCCTATCAACCACAACATGCTCATTCGAGGGCGCTGTTCCAAAGCTCATATGCAGCGGTCCACTGGGCATGACGCTTCAGTTTCCTCATCACACTCTTGAGCGAGCACTGGGGCTGCGAGAGCTCTCTTCCCAGGCCCCGGCATCTGCGTCGCAAAATAATATATGTTTCATTATGTTTCTTTGTCACGCAGGGAACGGAACGCACTAGTTTCAATCCGCGCCAAACTTCACGCAATTCGTCTGCCGCAAAACTCAAGCCGTCTCTGAACTGCAACGTGCCCGCGCACTACTTTCAATCCTGGCGTCGCTGCAATTGGGTCCACAGGCGACTCAGCAAGGATGGCCCCAAGCTCATCCAACGGCTTTCCCCCATCTGCACCTGACAGCGTGCAAGCTGAGAAGTTTGGGTTGGCGCATGATATCCCCCTCTTGCCCTGTCGCAGCGCTCGGCACATCCACGGGGCGAAGAGCGCGCACCACCAGAAGAACATGAGCGCCGACAGCTCGCAATCGCAACCAGCAAGTCACGCCAATCACCGAGCTTTTCTTGTGAATCACGCTTGTCAGAGCCGAGAAACCCCAGTTTACGCACAGCTTGCCATGACAAAAAGAAAGGAGGCCCAATGGCGGCTTGGTCTTCTCCAAAACGATGACAAGGCTCTCCTCCCAACCACTCTCCAACCCGCACTCTTTTTTTCTCAAATCATACACTGGCAAGCTGGGGGTATGAGGCCCACGGATCTGTTGCACCACAAATCACCGACTGGCAAGCTGGGGGTATGAGGCCCACGGATCTGTTGCACCACAAATCACCAACATGGCCAAGACAGAACATCAGGCGCTCTGAAAAGGCTCTTATGAACATCGGCTCGTTGTAAAAGGCCCCATCTCAGAAACGCACTGCGGCCTGAAGTAGAACACACAAG